TGGACCAGTTTTTTCTTGTTATTGTTTTTGTTTGTGTTTTGTGTTTTGTTTTGTTTTTTTACTTTTAGGTGGGACTCCATGGATGGATCATATTCAGTAGGACCTTAGAGAGATTGAGGGTAGGGAAGAAGAAACACAAATATCTCTCTTCTTTCCCATGCCTCCAACTCCTTGGAATACAGGATTACAGGAGTGGGAGAGAGAGGATGAGAGGAGAAAATGATTGCATGAGGAAGGGCACAGAAAAGGAGGAAACAGGTAGAACTGGCAAAGTGTGTAGGAAACTCTGAAAAAAGTAAATACTATATTCAATCTTTCCAAAACAAGTGTGTCTCCTTCTGCCTCCTTCGGCCTCCTTCCACCCCACTTTGCTATCTTCTTTCCCCAGATATGCAAAAAGAGAAGCAATTTTTGTTTTGTAGTCCAACACCAAAAAAGACTAAGCCTTTGATCCCCCGGGTCTGGCTTTTCTTGCACTAGTCACTACATGGAAAGGACATCTTCAAGGAGATAGAAGAGGCCTCTTCAGTCGAAGGAGAAGGCTGAACACTGCATTGTGATATTAAAAAATCAGCCCTGGCTGGTGTGGTTCAGTGGACTGAGCACCAGCCTGTAAACCGAGGGGTTGCCAACTCGGTTCCCAGACAGGGCACATGCCTGGGTTGCAGGCCAGGTCCCCAGTAGGGGGCACATGACAGGCAACCACACATTGACGTTTCTCTCCCTTTCTCCTCCCCTTCCCCTCTCTCTAAAAATAAAATAAAGAAAATCTCTTTTTAAAAAATCAGGTGTGCTCATGCTTCCAACTTGTCTTCAGTCCCTTGTTTTATGCCCAATCAACTCTTTTCTAAAATGTTGACTTAGCTGTATAGAACAGTTAATACATAATAATTTTTAAAATAATATCTAATTTTTTACCTAATACTTTCTTCCCCACATGTCTAGCCATTCCCTTCTTCCAGGCTGGTAAGTTCTTAGGCTCTCAAGCCTCAGAGAAGGCTGTGACAGCTAAAGGAAGTTGAAGTGGATGTTTACTAGACCGTTTGTTGAGTTAAGATGCAGGTTCTCAAAACCCGCCTGTTCTTGATTAGGTTTAAGGACACCTCCCAGCTGCATCTCAGTTCAGATGGAGTCTTATTTCCAACTGTATTCTAGACTGAGGGTCAAGTTAAAGACTGAGAGTCTCTCTTTCAGCAAACTTCCTTAGCTTATAGTTGTTAGAAAATGAATTATGAGTTCAGTGTACGTCTGATATAGGGTCTTCCTCCCTCGGGTCCATGTGGATCAATTTTGCTCCTTAAGGATTTGTTAAATGAAAACAACCCAGACTCACTTGACATTAAAAAAAATAGGTTTTTTAGACAAGAATATGCGATACAACATCAATGTGATACTTAACATATAGCAGTTTTTCTAGTTATGTTGACATTTAAGTTTAATTTGATATTGTGGTTCTAATTCAGAACATATTTGTTTTGAGAGAGAGGTGAAACCTCTGGTCTTCCTTAAGATCTCCCTGGGTCCCAGACACCTCTTTCTTTCTAGAGTGTGGTTGTACCAAAGTGTGTGGTTTGTCTGTCGTCCCATGAGACAGTGCCAGCCATGCCAACCCGGAGATATGCTGCCACACCCGGTTTATAACTGGCCCAAACCATGATCGCAAGAGCCTGCTATGGCAATCTCTTTACTGGTAGGTAAGAAGGGGATTTCATCTCTGCCAGATCCGTAAACAGTATCATACGTAGGTTGTCAGCATATGAGTAGAAGGGAAGAGTAAGGATGGAATAAAATAACACAGATCACACACACAAACCATTGGTTTACCTGCCCCAGTTATTTAGATGATCAGGGGAGGCCATAGGAGATCAAGTTGATGGGAGAAAGTGGGAATACGTGACCTATCTCCTTACATGCCAAACGGACAGCCTCTTCCTGCTCAACAGTAGATCAGGAAGATCCAAGTCCACTCTATGTACAAGAAAGTGAAACACGAGTGTTTCCTCCTCTGTGTGCATGATCACAGAATACGCAAGCGCTAGGTTTGTCTAGGTGTAAGACTAAAAATCATGGAACTATTCATCTTCGGGGAAAAGCTGAAAATCTCATCAGAGCCCATGTACTGTACCAGTCACTAATTCATGAGTATGTGAGCGAGTGTGTGTATGACCGTATGTACCTAACCAAAAAATTAGGGGAACATAGGTGGTACATACACACAATAGCAAGGTTTCTAAAAAGACCATAATAGATAAACAGAATGTGTAACAGAGGCATTTAGAGGCAAAATATGTTTTAGACCAAAGGAAGGAAAATCAGCCAATGAGTGCAATGCAAATAATCAATGACTAGAGGGGAAGACGGTCATTTAGAAGATAATGAGGGACTGGGGAGGAAAACCCTGGGGGTTCCCTGGCCCAGGCCCTCAACCTGCGTGGCCCCCAGAGCTGGCCATGTCAGGCGCTGGTCCACATTATCCACTTTGCTTTGATTCCTGTCTCTCCAAACAGACTTGCAGTCACAGTTTGTCTTCCATGAGGTTTCCTCAGCAAGACAGAGAACTGTGCCACAGGCTCGAGCTCGGCAGTTGTGTTCCCCACTGAAAACTAAAAATGGCATCCTGGCATGGGGAGCTAGCTCTGTGAGCTTGGTAAACTTCAGCCCATCGGGAGAAGATTTTCAGAGGCTGCAAAGATGAGCACCACGCCCTGGACTGTGGTACTTTCACTAAAGTGAATTCATCTCCAGTTAGCTAGCCCCGCCTGGAGACAGCCCTATCCTGTCCTGCTTCAAACAACTATAGAATACCTGATTCATTCAGTGCCAGATATTCTGCTTAGTGTGTATCTGTTTGTGTGCCTCGCCTCATAATAAATGCACTTATTTGGGCAGTTCTATTTAACCTGTGGCTTACTGTAAACCCCACATAATTTTTTATTTATTCAAGCCTCATGACCAGTCCCCAGCATATGCATTAAATTTAGTGATTATTAATGAATGAGTGTTACTTTCTGATGGATAGTTGGGCAAACTGCAAAAGTGTCTGATATCTTCTCAAAGCAAAGAGAAAAAAACCATTACTAGCAAACATATATATTACCAAACAAGTGAGATTTTTATAAAGGCCTTATATTCAGAATCTTTGTGCATCAAAAAAATGGAGATTATAATGCATCAGGGACAGCTGATTTTATTTGTTTTGTTTTCTTCCAATGACTTGTGGCAGTAGGAGAATTTAAAATTAACTTACCGAAGGTAAATTGAAAGATAGGAGTTCAGTGAACTGGAGAACCAATAAAAACAAGTAAAGCAAAAATGGCTATAAGGCAAAGAACAAGCTGTCCAGGTAGCTGATAGAGTTGGCAAAATGGTAGCATTTCCCTGTGAGGCCACTTCCTTTGAACTTGAGTTCTTTCTATTTCCCTAAGGACTGCTTCCTATGTGCAAAGGAAGTAGCACAGGTAAGAGGTACAGGGATACCTTTTACGGAGACTGTTATGTCCCGATTTGAGTAGACAGTCCAAAGCTACTTGATTTGTCTCTCTTGAGCACATTAATCTGGATTTCTCTGGATTTATACAAAATTGACTAATACCAGACAATAGGCTAAGCCCTTTCCACACATATTGTCACGTAGTTGTGTGATTTCTATGAGGTAGATGCAATATTTATTCTCTCTTTGCAGGTGAGGAAAATGGAACTTGTAACTTGCATAAGTCCACATGCCTGCAAAATGGCATCAATGAGATTAATAATCACAGATATGATGATTTAAGAACACAACAAATTTGTAACCATTCTTCTCTATAGTCCACACATCCAGTTTCCAATGCATCAAAGCCATTACAAAGATCACCTTCTCTACCAAACACAGGAAATATTTTCTATTTCTTTGGCTCAGATGGTGACAAATCATTAAATAAAAGTAAAAATAATAATAATATTAATTCTTTACCATTTGTTATACACAAAACACTATTCTCAGTGTTTACATATACTGACATCTAATTCTTCACAATGAGCTCATATATTCCTATTTTACAGATGAAGAACTAAGGCATGCAGAGCCCAAACAGCGTGCCCAAGGACATACAGGCAGACACCTATTTACTCGCTTCTTTTCGGCCTACCCAAGAGAGGTCACAGCTGAATAAATGTATTCCAGATTTTTACTGATGGTTTAAAGACATGCAAGTTCTCAGAAAAAGTAGAGGGGAAAAAATCACTCCCTTAAATTCCTTGACAAAGTTCTACAACTTATCACAAAACTGGTAAAAACAGACTCTTTCACCCCAAGTGAACGTGTGATCCCCTTCTCTAGCTCCCTAAGAAAATGTTGATGCTGGTTAGAATGCTGAAACTTGAACTGAAACGCTGATTCCCTGGTATGTTCAAGTCACTGCAGAGACCACTCTTTATACAGTTGATTGAATGAGCCAAGAGGTTGTCCTATTTGTTTGGTCATTAAAGCCTTAGTCAGAAATTTTCCACCTCTGCTCTGCCTTAATACATCTAAAGAGTCAATACTATACTATATACCCCTTGAGTTACCAGACTCATAATAGTCATGAGTCTCCACGACGGACATGTGTCTGCTCATGTGCCCCACAGGAAGCATATTAGAACTTCATGAGAGGGGAAGCAGCTGTTTTAGAAAAAGTATCAGGTTATCATGCTAAATATCCCTATCCTGCCTTAAGGTTTGCCACTGAAACTGCTGAACTAACATTATTTTTTGATGTTTCCCTCCTACAAACACAAACTCTATTTTAATGTTTACATTATTTAGTCTTTGTCAAGGTAAAGTTCTGTGGTAAAGTAAACATTTATCATCTCAATCTATGCAATTCTGTTTGTCCTAGAAAGCAAAGATGGCCAAACTGTTTTCCAATAACCAATAGGTAAACTGGTCAGGGGGATATTGGAAAAAGTCTGGCCTGCAAAAATCATTGGGGAGATGAACTACTCCAAAACCACACAGAAGTCTGCACAATTGATCCAGCTCATAACTTTATTGTAATCATGAGCTCAGGGTCAAAAAGGTGAATCCTGTGAAAAAGCATGTGACCCCTTTCCACAGTTTTCCTCAGGGCATTTTTAATCTCCTTATTCCTAAAACTGTAGATGATGGGATTGAACATAGGGATCACCAGAGTATAGATTATGGACACCAACTTATCCTGGTTTGGGGAGTAGCTGGAACTGGGTCGCATGTACATGAAGAGACCAGAGCCATAGAAGAGGGTCACAGAAGTCAGGTGAGAGGCACAGGTGCTGAAGGCCTTGCTCCTACCTTTCACATCGCTGACCTTCAGGACAGCAGCAACAATGTTAGTGTAAGAGATGAGGACCAAAAGGACGGACATCACTCCAACAACAACACTCACACTGAAGTTCACCACCTGGCTGGTGAAGGTACCAGAGCATGACAGAACCAGGACTGGAGGAAGGTCACAGAAGAAGTGGTTGATCAAGTTGGGTCCACAGAAATCATTATGATAGACACCGTATGTTACAATGAAAGAACTAAGGAATCCGCCCACATAGGCCCCCACCACAATCTTTAAACAGAGTGTATAGGACATGAGGGCCGTGTAGAGCAAGGGGCTGCAGATGGCAGCATACCGGTCGTACGCCATGGCTGCCAGAAGAAAGCATTCCGTCAGCCCCATTCCGCAGAAGACAAAGTACTGTGTGGCACAGCCAACAAAGGAAATGGTTTGCTGTCCTGTGATGATGTCAGACAGCATCCTGGGGACTGTGGAAGACACGTAGCAGATGTCTAGGAAGGACAGGTGAGTGAGGAAGAAGTACATGGGCGTGTGGAGGTGGGAATCCATCCTGATGAGGGCGATGAGGCTCAGGTTCCAGGCTAGGGTCAGGACGTAAATCCCAAGAAATAACACAAAAAGGAAAACCTTCATTTGGGGATGATCCGAAAATCCTAAGAGGATAAATTTTGTCACAGTTGTGTTGTTCTTTCCTATAGCCATAGACCTGCTTCCTGCATAAAGGAAAGAAGCAAGCCTGCGATCAGTTAGATTTTGTGTCTTACTATATGCACGGATATTTCCTGGAAGATTATATGAACAGGTAACACCAGACTGACTATTGTGCCAGCCACCTGCTAGGCAAAGTCTTCTCAGAGAAAGTCAGTCCATGATAATCTCACGGCACTGTTTAAAACCTGTATATTACATGTCTCGTTGACCAGAGGAGAATCAGTCTACTAGAGTGGAGAGTGACCGGGAGTCAGGAATCCGAGTTTTATCCACAGCTCCATTGCTACCTTTCTGGGACTGTGGAAAAGTCACTTCACATCTTTGGATCCTCTTTTCCTCAGCTGAAAAATGAAAGGGTTGAATCAGATGAGTCTCAGAGTTCCTTTGGACTTGGGTTTCTTATGGCTTTTAAGACTTTCTGACTTGAAGATATAAACTCAGACTAATAATAAAGTTAGGAATTTATTTATTGATCTTTAGCATGAGAATATAAAAGAAGAGCTCAGTACAAAAACCTATAATACTTTACACACTCCATTTTGATGGAGGATTCCAACTCATAATCAAAACAATCCTTTCTTTTACGTACTAAAACTAAGAGGAATATATATACACACATATATACATATACACACACACACACACACACACACATATATATGCATGCTTAGAACTAGACTTTTTTTTCTAATTATATGACAACTCACTGAATCAAAAAGATCAAAATGTAAGCCAAGCCCGTCGGCACCATTAGGGGATACAAGGGCTATGAACATACCTCCATGCGCGGAGGAGAGCAGCAACACCCAAGTTGACTGAAACTGGGTCAGCCATGGGGGTTTAGGACAAGCAGAAATAAGTGTTTCCTGAGCAAGAAAAACTGGAGAGAGTTCATTACATACTTTAGAATGATATTTAGAAACAGGCAAGAGATCTTGGGGTAGTGAACATACAGTACAATGTACAGATGTTGTATTATGGAATTGAACGCCTGAAAACCACATAATTTCATTAACCAACATCACCTCGGGAAATGCAGTAACATTTTTAAAAATTAAAATTAAACAGATAAAATAGGCAAGAGACAACTTTGGTATCATCAGGCCAAACCAGATTATTACTTTGAACACATGAGATAAGCCTAGACACATTTTACATTAAAAGAGCCAGGCTGGTACGGATGATGTAAGATCAAAATGGGAAAGTATAAGCGGTTATGAAAAAGCAGACGTGCCCTGGGAAAACTCAATGGTAAAATAAAGTCACCGGTATTTTCTCATTTTGTGGAATTTGATTGCTTGTGCATGTTGCAGCCCATTGCAATGATCTGATTGTACTTCTCTGTCACTCATCATATTAGAAACTCTTCTACACAAAGAGGTGCTCAAGATCACCAGCCATCTGAGAACTGCAAGTCCAAACCGTGAGATAGCACTTCACACCTTTCAGGATGGTTAGAGTTTGAAAGACAAAAGACAAACATTGGCAAACATGTAGAGAAAAGAAAACCCTTGTGAACTGTTGGTGGGCACGTAAATTGGTATAGCTGTCATGGAAAACAGTATGGAGGTTCCTCAAAAAATTAAAAATAAAAGTACCAAATAATCCAGCAATCCCACTTCTGGGCAAATACCCCAAGGATCTGAAACTAGTATTTCAAAGCACACTCATGTTTATTGCAGCATTACACACAATAGCCAAGATAAGAAAACAACCTAAATGTCCATCGATAGATGAAGAGATGAAGAAAATATGAGAGAAAGAGAGAGAGAGGAAGGAAGGCTAGAATATAGACTTTGAAAAGAAGGAAATCTTGTCATTTACAACAAAATGAATGAGCCTGGAGGACAATGTGCCTTGTGAAATAGGCCAGATGCAGAGAGACAAGTTCTGCATGATCTCACTTATATGTGGAATCTAAAATAAATAAATAAATAAATAAATGAATAAATAAATAAATAAATAAATAAATGAAAAGAGTCAAGTTCACAAAAGTAGAGCGCAGAATGGTGGTTACCAAGGGCTGAGAGTGGGTTAGAGGAATAGAGAGATACTGGCCAAAGGATACAAATGTTCAGTTATTCAGAATAAATGTATTGGAGATCTAATGAAGAACAGGGTGACAATAGATAATAGTACTGCACTGTATACTTGAGGTTTTTGAAGAGGATAGATCTTCACTAAATCTTCTTACCACACACACACCACACACACACTGCACACGAGAGCGACTAAGCAGAGGCGATGGATTATTGTGATGATCTCTTCACAGCGTACACATATGTATAAAAACATCAACTTGTTCAACTCACATGTGTACAATTTCTATATGATAAAAATGTATCAATAAAGCTGTTAAAATAAATACTGCCTCTAACTTTGTGTTTTTTAAAAATGTTAAATCTCCTCACAATCACCACCGACAATGCAGCCAAAACCAAGGAGAGCTGAAACGACTCTTCTCTGTGGCATTAACCCATTAATCCTACCAACGGGGAAATAACATGAGTTGGTGTTTCCGATCTTAATGAAATCTTCCCCACCAGAATGCGAGCCACTCAAAGGGAGTTTTTGTCTCTTCTGTTTATTCATCAGTCCTGCGTCCCTAGCACGGTGCCTGGAACATAGTTACAGTAGACATTTGTGGAATAAATAAACTTGTTCCTTATTCACAGAGCTTAGCAGAGTGTTTGGGTTATAATGGGTGCTCAATTATAATGATAGATAAGGTAATGTATGATAGAATCGTAACCACTTATTTATGGCTTTTGAGTACCAGGCACTGTTCTGAGGACTTGATTTATGTTGATTCATTTAATCCTCCCTGGGGGTGGGTAGAGTTACTCTGCCCCTCTTGCAGGTAAAACGTGAAATAGGCTGTAACTTTATCATTCTCCTTCGTTGGATGAATGAGGTGGGAGGAAGAAGCTGGGACTTACTGAATTCCTTCAGGCAGAAGAGTCCTGAGATCTCACAGCACAGGAGAGGAATGATCGGTCCCTTTATTCCAATAACCTCTTTTGCACAGTTCAGTTCACCTGCCTTTTGCGCTGCTCTATGCCTGGTTTCTGGGTCAATTTGTTACATTTTGACCTCGCGCACATAGTAATACCTCCTTTCAGAATCCTTGCTCTTTTATTACCGAGTCTTCAGAATGGCCTCTGGGAGTTCATTATATTAATGGGCAGGAATGGCCACAGTCTTCCTCCTCCCGACTGCCCTGTCACTCACCCCTGGGTCCAAACGAAGGGCCCGGCCATCACGAGAGCCAAGTGTCTAAGTGCTAATTGTTCTCCGGGGAGATGGGGAAGGGACCAAGTACCCGCCGCCAGGCTGCTGCTCACAACCCCCTCCCTTAGCCTCCTTGGAGCTCTCTGTGCTCTGAGTCCAGGAAGATCTCCTTTGCTTTGGTGGGCAGCCTCCCGCCGGGTGAGACCCTTCGTTGGGAGTCAAACCTCCCACAGATAGACTAATCCTCGTACTAAGATACAGTGTTTAAAATGCGAGAGTTGGGTTCAAATGCTGGCTCTGCCATTTTATCCATAAAAACGTGCATTTTTTAAATTTCCAAAGCTTCAATTTCCTCACTTGTAAAATGGGTATAATCACAGTCATATCTGCCTCCAAAGGGTTATTGTAATCATGAAATAAGGTGTCAGTAGGAAGGCTGTACCACAGTGCCATTCACTCAGTAAATGATAACTAGTAACATCATTAACTCTGGGGCTAGGATCATGGCCAAAATCCTTTCCTTCCTTTTTATTGTGACTAATTTTCATTGCGATAAAAACAGCTCCTTTACTCTTTCCTATTTTGGGTCCTGACAGGACCTGAGCTTGACACTTGGGCAGCTCAGCTGACCCCCCGCCCCGCTACACAGGGCCTGAGCACATTGGGCCAACTCTCCAAGGACTCCTCAAGCTCTGAAAGTCGGACATTCTGACACCTTAATTTCCTGTTCCCAAAAGCTCTTCTGTAAGAATAAAGTTTACAAAAAGGAATTAATCTGTGTCATGGAAGTCAAGTTAGCAATCCTCGGTCTGAAAATAAAAATGAATCAAATGACAGATAGAGCTCCTATGTGAAGGGATGCAATTACCTAGACCCTTGACACACAAGGTAACAGGCTGAATTTAGGAAAAGAAGCTTGTCAAGTAAGCGCCTTGAGAGAACAAGGGATACATGCTCCCCACAACAGATGGAGAACAGGAGGAGGACAGGGACTTCTTCATCCAGAGAAGCAATCTTAGCCGGGACTGGAGACAGACTGGCTCAGCAGGTCCCCAGGCTGGGAGACTCAAGCCCAGCAACCTAGCAGAGTCTGGAGACCGAATTAAGGTCCAGAATAATTGAGAAGGTATGCCTTTAATGGTGATCTGTACATTTTCTTAGGATTAGAGAAGATTAATCAAAGTGTTGGCAAGATATTTCATCTATCATGCCCTCTTGGATTCTAGTGATAAGGATGATCTATAATATAAGGTTGAAAAGCTCAAGAATAAAGAACAAATTATAAATTAACAATGTCCACAAAGGACAGGGAAATGAAGAGTGCAGATAGTCAATGTACCTGTTGACCCATTCTACTGGAAATTTGGGAGTGAGGGCAAAAGTTGTTGTATTAAGTTATCCTCAACATGACCATAATCTCACCGTACCCTTGCTTTAAAATAATAAATTTCAAATATGATTAAATATAAGTATTTAAAGCAGTTGAGTCAACATGAAAACAGTGTGCAAGCGAATAGCACATAAAAGCAAATAAACTCCCTATACAATTACAAATGTCTAGGAGAGATTTCTTTGGGATTCAACTCAAATTTCATCTTATTTTAGATTCTGTTCACTGACAGCTTCTCCCAAAAGATGAACTTGCTTCCATATTTGTTTAATATTTTAGCATATTTTAATGCCTTTATTTTCATTGTTTCAAAGCCAAACCCAGGAAAAATTCGAGAGATGCTTAGCAATAAAATACAATCTTTATTCTC